TGGGATTTTCTTTCTCCCTCTCTCTCTGCCCCTCCCCCACTCGTGCTGCACACACTCTCAAAACAAATTAAAAAAATTTTTTTAAGTGACATGTGGTTTCTTTCAGCAGGTCGTACATTATGGCTGACATGCAAAATCTGGTAGAAAGATTGGAGAGGGCAGTGGGCCGCCTGGAGGCAGTATCTCATGCCTCTGACATGCACTGTGGCTATGGAGACAGTGCTCCATATGTGCAAACATTTGACTCACTGCCTACCGGTCCTGTGGCAGAGTGCCTGAAGATCAGTAAAGAGATTGAGAGAGATGTGCAAAAACATGAGGAGATGGTCCGCACAGTTCCGAAGTTGGAGCAAACTCTTGGTTACAGCCTCTCCATGCCGGCAGCCAGCAGACAGTAAGCTGGCTTACATTTTGGTTGATTTGTTGGCAACCATCTCAGAGCAGATCCAAGAAGTGATAACCTTCCCGGAGTTCTGCCTCACCTCCAGACTTGGACTCATCTTTCTATATTCCCCACTGCTGCTAACATGATCATTCTAAAACGTATTCAGTCGAAATTAATCTAATTACATTGCTTAAAATCCCCCAATGGGTTCTCATAACTTGAAGATAAACTTCATCTTCTGTGTTCTTCTTAATACAGAACACTTGGTATAGAGCATTGCCTTTTTTTTCTGGCAGCATCTTCCAAATTTCCCCTCAAGCATACTTTGCTCCAGCCATAAGGATCTCATGGTCCTGCAAATGTTCCATACTATTGCATGGTTTCTGGTCCTCAGCTGTGCTATTTTTCTTCCTTCTGCCTAATTTCTTTGTTCAGTTAGCTCCCCATCCTCCCAGATGTAACTTGTGTCACGTCATCAGGGACTACTATACAAAATTATGTCTTCATGGAGGAGCACTTGGAATTCTTGGCTGAATTTACTAAATAAAGTGATAGACTTTATATTCAAGGATTTTTTTTTTTTTAAATCAGAGAATGACACTATGGGGTTTTAACTTTATAACATTATTCTGGAATCAGTGTGTAAGACTATGGGGTCAACATGAAACAATATCCATACAATAGTGCACCACTTCAATTTGCTTCAAGTTGTTGCTTGCTTAACTTTCTTTTCTTATCTTTGCTACCATGGGTTTGCACTTTCAAAAAGAAAAAGAAAAAAAAATCTAATCTTTGCTTTAGGCTCTGTTTTCTGGAAGACTCTGGCTAAGACAAGCTTATAACCCCAGTTTGATTAATCAGGAAGAAGGGAGAATTTTTGGATTTGTTTTTGAGGTATTAGGGAAATAGACTTCCTTTTTTCCCCACTAGATACAAATCTGGAAGGCTATATCCCTGGAAGCTACCGGCAGTCTAAAAGGAGGGAGGTTGCTTAGAAATGAGCAAACACAGAGGAAACTGATCCAAGAAATGAACAGAAAATTTAAATCCCATCACACTATTTGACCCTGGATCAAGCCTCACCCGAAGGTAGAACCCCTGGTTTTTGAATCTCTTAAAAATGAATAAACTCTAATTGATTGAAGGCTTCAAATGTCCTACATCTGAAGCTGCCTGTGTTAAGAAAAAGGCCTCAGTCTTATATCCTTGGCTCATTTCCAACTCCCTCAACTTCCTTAGGGCTATCTCCTCTGGCTTTCTCCAAGTAAGCAATGCCCTTTTCAATGATCAGAAATACGTGTTTGGCTGAAGAGAGGCTGATCTTTTTTGTTTTGTTTTGTTTTTTGAGAGGCTGATCTTAATATGTGGAAGAAAAGATTCTCAAATACAGAATATTGCCAGTGGGCTTCTCTTTTTTTAATTTTTTTTCAACGTTTTTTATTTATTTTTGGGACAGAGAGAGACAGAGCATGAACGGGGGAGGGGCAGAGAGAGAGGGAGACACAGAATCGGAAACAGGCTCCAGGCTCCGAGCCATCAGCCCAGAGCCTGACGCGGGGCTCGAACTCACGGACCGCGAGATCGTGACCTGGCTGAAGTCGGACGCTTAACCGACTGCGCCACCCAGGCGCCCCCAGTGGGCTTCTCTTGAACATATAAAAATTCTGTCAATTATTGTTCTAGCACCTGTGAGGAACACAAACTTGAGCAAAATAAATTCCCTTCCCTTAGACTCTGATGCCCTAGAGGAGCGCTGTCCAAGAGAAATATAATGTGAGCCACAACACAAATGTGATCCATATATGCAATTTAAAATTTTCTGGGCAGCCACAGTAATACAATAAAAGGCAATAAGGAAAATTAATTTTATAATATATTCATTTAACCCAATATTCCCAGAATATTATAATTTCAACATGTAACCAATATAAAAAATTAATGTGTTATTTTCATTTTTGGGGGGGTACTAAGTTTTCAAAATCTGGTATTAAGTCATCTCATTTTGGACTAGCCACATTACCAGTGCTCAAGAGCCGCATGTGATTGGTGGTTACTTCATTGGCCAGTGCAGCTCTAGAGAGTAATCATACAGATAAACACTTTTATCCTATAGACTCTTATATGGTAGACTGTAATCAGGGCTATGTTGGGAGGTACAAATTTTGCGCTCTTCTAGCACCTGTGAGGAACACAATGTATACACAGTGTATACATTGTATACAATGTATATGTAGTGACAAGCCCGCACTTCTTAGGATAGCCTTTTGGAGAAAGGGCATGGCATTGTTAAATTTGAGTCCCTCAGTGTTGACAATGAAAGCTTTGGGTAACATGGTCCTACTGTCTTGGGAATCTCTTCCGTTTCACTCCCCTCTGCATCACCCCTCCCCCAAACTTCATTTGAAGATAGGTGCATGTGGGAAAGGGTTGAAAAAAGGCTTGCCTGGCATTGGAAGTTACATTTTGGCTACAGAAGGTTATTGTGGGGAGGAGGCAGAAACCTCCAGCCTCAGTCCGGCAACACCTACTCATTTCACTTAATTAAAAAGATTTCTCTCAACTTTCATATTTCTTAGATCAAGGATGTTTTCCTACCCAACCACAAAATCACTATCATACCAGGATACTTATAATCAATAGATACTATTATCTAATATACAAGTCACATTTAATTTCCCTAATTATCCTTTCTAGTATTTTCTATTTTACTTTTAAGAGATCCTGGGGCGCCTGGGTGGCTCAGTTGGTTGTGTGGGACTTTGGCTCAGGTCACGATCTTGTGGTTAGTGGGTTCCAGCCCCAAGTCCGGCTTTGTGTTGACAGCTCAGAGCCTGGAACATGCTTTGGATTCTGTGTCTCCCTCTCTTTCTCTCTCTCTCTCTCTCTCTCTCTCTCTCTCTGCTCCTCCCCAACTTGCGCTCTGTCTCAAAATAAAAATAAAACATTCAAAAAATTTAAAAAAAGAAATCTTTTCCCTATTTTGAAGTCCAAACAATACTGTATTATATTCTGAAAGCTTTATAGTTTAGCTTTTCACATTTAGGACTTTAATACTCCTGGAATTGATTTTTGTGAGGAAGTAAGATAAGAGGTATCATTTTATAGATTTTTTTCATAAGGATACCCTGCGGTCACAGAACCTTCATTGAAAGACCACCTTTTCTCCGTTGCTATGCGATGCTACCTTAATCGTAAATCAAGTGTCTCGTATGTGATAAAAACGTAAAGAAAAGCAAGGAAGTGACTGTCATAAAAATCAGGCTAGTAGTTTCCTCGGGAAGGAGGCATGGGAGTGTATTTGGAAAGGGCTTGTCACTTTTCTGCTTTTGATCTAACGGTGACCTATCTTTTCAATACTTTTATTTGCCTTTGTTTCCTATTTCAGAATAGAGCTGTTATACTTCCCAAGAAAAAGGCTAAGACGGGCGCCAGCATCTTTGCAAAGGAAGTTTGTGGTTGTTCTCAGCTGGGAAAGGGGGCGCGAGGGGCAGAGCGGGTGCGGAGTCCAAGAGAGGCAAAGCCAAGACGCAGCCGGTGCACCGGGGACAGGGACGCGCCCACGACGCTCCCGGACCCCCGCTTGGAGGGGCCGCAGTGAGAGCTTCTGGGTCAGGTGACAGCGCAGTTCCGTCCGGAGTTAAGCCACACGCACAGGCAGCCGTCCGCGGGGACAGCCCGCCCAAAGGCTGCCGCTCGCCTTTAGCGCCCGGCTCGCCCCGCCGCTAGAGGGAGTCCGCCCCGCCGTGGACTCCAGAAGCGTGCTGCGCCGCCGCGGCCTCTGGGAGGGGGCGGGCCTCGGGCGGCCGCTGGGCATTCTGGGCCAGCGCTCCAGCCGCGTCTGTGCGCACCACCCCGTAGCGGAGAGCTTTGTGCTCAAGCTCCCCCTGCAGGTCCGCGGTAGAGCCCGGGAGCAGTAACGAGGCCGCGGCGGAGCCGGGGAGAGCCCGGGTTAGGAGGAGGAGTAGCCAAGGTTAGGATCAGGCCGGCGAATGGGTGGCTGAGCGGCTGCGGTGTGGAGCCCTGGGGTCTGTTCCCGCGGTTGCCGCGATCTCCGGGCGGGAGCGGCCCCCGGGCAGCGGCTTGTCGTGTCTGCCTTCGCAGGCCAGACTCCTGTGGGTTCTGGCCCTTTCGTGGAGGTCCGCTGGGACCTCTTCCCGAGGCCGGCGACCCCTTGCTGTCATTTCCGGCTCCTCCAAGACATTGTAGGGAGTGCTCAGTAAACTTTAGGACGGGCATGGAATTGCTGGGGCGACAGTGGTCTGGGGCCGGTGGAAAGGTCCTGGCTGAAGGCAAGCGCTGTCGGAGCCCACAAGTCCGGGCTGCACCGAACAAGTCAGAATGTAGAGGGTGAAGGTAGTGGCAGTGCCACAGGCAGCAGGAACCCATCAGAGAAGAAAAGCCTCTCACCGGGGGTCTTTGCTCAGCACCTGGGCTGAGGTTTGGGGCTGGAAGAGGGAACTGGTCTTGGAGCTCCTGGGGAACTTTGGCTATTTTTGATTCTCTTGTTTGCAGGGAGCAAGGATTGAATTAAGTAACTACATCCGGGGTGTGGAGAAAACGAAGAAGTCTTGGAGGATTTGATCCAGGAGAGAGGCAAGCGTTACCTAGCTTCTGGGATGGGCAACAGCCTGTGCAGTGTGGATCAGAGAGGAGGAAATGCCACAATGTGAGGGACTGGACAGGTGAGAAAGGAAAAGTCCCCATTCTACCACAGCAAGGCACAGAGTTGCTAATCTGGATTCTTCAGTGCAGACCTGGTTTTTCAGAGCTCCTTTCTCCTCCCCTACCCCTGTCATTTCAGCATTCTGCACTTCCTGGTAAGGGGAAAGATCAGCCAAGTCCCAGGGGAGTAGAAGTTTCTTCTCTCCTAAAGTTTAAACTCAATTTGTCAAAAGGAATAGAAATGCTATCTCGTCTCATCCTTGGGTAGGGGAAGGAGATCCACATTTGTTGAATGCTAGTATGTTTGTTTTGTTTTATCACTATTTTGAGTAGCTGAGGACAGCTGGAGGGGATACTGTGTCAGTAGCGTCAGGAAAACGAAGAACTTGCTCAAGAGCACTCATAAGGCATATTACTGAATACTACTGACCTAGTCAGGATTAGGTTTAGAATCTAGATCCCCACGACCCCCAGACTCTTGACACTATGCTGGTATTTCCCAAACATTTCATTCATTTACCACCTGAGGATTGTTGCCATTCCTGTGTACTACCTGTATTGTTATTTTCATGTTTAAAATTTTTAAATTTCATTTATTTAAAGACCACACTTGTCCTAAGAAACACTCTCTATGAAATGATGCATTGGATTTATGCATTTGAATATAGCTTTATATGCTAAGATGTGTCTAAAAATGTTGAAATCATCTCATGTCAGAAAAATACAAACTGCATTCGGAGACAATGTGCTGTATTATGCCCTTGCCTGGAATTTTTCTGTGCAGGAAAGTCCAGGCAACACATCTGAGTCTAAATTGCTCATCCCCAGTGTATTGTTTTCTTCCTTTAGAGGAACAATTTCACAGAGAATGCCTCCTTTTTGTTTCTTCTCTACAGAACATTTTGCTTAACCTATTCAGGGCTACCCTATTCTCAGTATGTAAAACAAGTAACAAAGTTCATAACTTTCAGGAGCTTACTCTCTCTCTGCCTCTCCTTCTCCCCCCACTCCCCCACCCCAGGGAGTTAGTACAGACACATAGAATAATCTAAATCACTACTGTCCAAAAAGAACATTTCTATAGTCAGAGGAGTGTTCTATGTCTTTGCCTTATAACGTGGTACCCCCAAGCCACATATAGCTACTAATTACTGGAAATGTGCCTCATGCAGCAGAGAAATTGAGTTTTAAATTTTATTTTATTTTATTTTAGTTAATTTAAATTTAAGTAGCTGTATGTGGCTGGTGGCTACATATTGGCCAACCCAGATCTATATATGTGAAATAAAATGTTTTCAAGATCAGTTGATTTAGATTTAGATTTAGTGCCCTCCCCCAGTGGGGAAAGACACCCAAAGTGTACATGTTAATTGCCATTTAACTTCATTTTCTTGACAGATGAAGATTCTTTCCAACTTTCAGGGACTTCATGGTCCAAATAACATTACTCATTTTGAAACTGTCATCATCCAAGGCACATTTATAATTTGAGATACTTATGTAAATGTGCATCTTCTGTGTTTTATCACCATTGAAGTATCCTCTAAAGCAATAACTTTATAGGATATAAGCAGAAATCTTAGCATTGCATTACTTTTGTTCATTGCAGATAACTTCTCTGCCAGCTGTATATGTTTTCTTTCATTAGGGACATTTAGACTGTTTCAAAATGAGTTAAGTACAACCACAGCAAATATTAATACCATTTTCAATATATCAGTTCTTAAGTTTTTAATATGGAATTTGGTGCATTCAGTTTCTTCATTGCTTAATAGCAAAGAGGAGATTTAGTTCATAGTTACCTCAATCAGTTTAAATTCTGTGTCAGATTGTTTTCCTGCCACCCAAAGTCCAATCCTTTGGACTGGTCATACCTTGTTTTGTTTTGTTTTGAACCTATGCTAGGTTAGATATGTGAGATTAGGAAGAAGGCTTAAAAAGAGTATCTTTACAAAATAGTTTGCCTAGTTTCTTAGGATTAAAAATGTTTGAGAGAGAAAACAAATCAAACATAACGTGTGGTCTTTGTTTCCTGATTTAAAGAAAAGCTATTTAAGACATTTTAGGGCCGCTGGGGAAATTTGAATAAGGAGGGGAGTATTGGGGAATTATTAATTGTGTTAGTTGTGATAACAGTAATGTAGTTAATGTAGGAGAATGTCCTTATCTGGAAGTGAATGCTGAAGCATTTATATCTGAAGTGTGAGGAGATCTATAGTTTACTTTAAAATAGCCAAAAATGCACACCTGAAAGATGCAAATACAGGAGCATGTCAACAGTTGTTTATCTAGGTGTTGTGTATATATATAGATGTTCATTGTTCTATTTCTTTGTATGTGTGAATTTTTTTTGTAGTAAAAATTAAAGAAAAAAAAAAAAAAGAGTACCTGTCCCACAGTAGAGTAGTGAGATATTGGATGTGAAGCACTTGGCTCAATGTCTAGCACTCAATAACTGCACAATAAATATTCAATATTATAGCAAATACTGTAGTATTTTATTAGTGCTTATTGACAGATATTTTCCATCATAAGCTAATTTCTTGTGGAGAGAAAAAATAAACTTAGTGGGAAACACCAATTTCTGTTAGGATAATTTATAAAGTCAGTAAGGATAAAGTAAAACCCACCAAGAGCTTTTCCTCCTTGCCATTTCCTTAGTATATTTCAAATCTTGAAAGCAACGGATTTCCACATGTTGCTGTGAACGTCCTCTCTCATGACTTCATGCTATTACCTTTTTTTTTTAAGTTTATTTATTTTGAGAAGGTGACAGCAGGGGAGGGGCAGAGAGAGAGAGGGAGAGAGAGAATTCCAAGTAGGCTCCGTGCAGAGCCTGACGTGGGGCCCGAACCCACAAACCGTAAGATCATGACCTGAGCTGAAACCAAGACCCAGATGCCCAACTGACCAAGCTACCTGGGTACGCTGTATGCTATTACTTGGTGTATGAGCAGATCTATTGGTATTTGTCTATAGTTAGTCTTTGAATTTTGCTATACTATGTTCCTGAGAACTACATTTGTAAAACAGTCATCATATAGCTGATTTTTCTCAAGGAATAGTTTGTAATTGAGTTTCATTTTCTTAGTCAAGGATTTTGTATTAGAAGAATCATAAAAGTGGCCATGTTTTTACCAACATTGCTCCAACATTTACAAAGATCTATACATTTCTAAATAATGAAATAATATTCCAAGTCAGTAGAACTTTGAAGCAGAAAAGGCAAACCTCAAATCTCCTTTTAAATGAAGAAATCGAGGCCAACGCAATTCTGTTGCGTTACTAGTTGGTCGTAAATAGCTAGGCTTCTTAAAGAATGTAAATAAATAGTCATGATTCTTTTTACCTTGTTAGAATTTGAAAGTGCTTTGGATAAATTTGTTATTTGGATAATACATTTCTTTAACACGATATTGCAGGGCCTTGTGCCATGGCAGAGAATGGGGACGAGGAGACGGGGTCAGTAGAGGCCTCAGGGTTCTCAGACTTGAGTGACTCAGAGTTGCTAGAGTATCTGGACCTGGAAGATACTCAGGAGTCAAGTGCATCACTTAGCAAGCCTGGTCCTTCTTCTGAACTCCCTGGGAATGATGACAAGCTCACAAGCTTACCAAAATGGAAAAGAGGATTGGATGTCTCATCACCTATGGAGCGATTCCACCTTAAATATTTGTATGTCACTGACTTGTCTACTCAAGACTGGTGTGAACAGCAAATGGTATATGGGAAGGAGCTTCCTGGTTTCTTGGCTCCTGAGAAGGCAGCTGTTTTGGACACCGGTGCCAGCATCCACCTAGCTAGAGAACTAGAAGTTCATGATCTTGTGACTGTCCCCACCACCACTAAAGAAGATGCTTGGGCAGTTAAGTTTTTGAATATATTATCAATGATTCCTGTCCTGCAGTCAGAAGGACGCATCAGAGAGTTTCCAGTGTTTGGAGAAGTGGAGGGTGTGCTGCTTGTTGGAGTAATTGATGAGCTGCACTATACCGCCAAGGGGGAACTGGAACTGGCTGAACTTAAGACACGCAGGCGCCCTATGCTCCCTTTGGAAGCTCAGAAGAAAAAAGACTGTTTTCAAATCAGCCTATACAAATATATCTTTGATGCCATGGTTCAAGGGAAAGTGACCAGTGCTAGCCTAATCCACCACACAAAATTATGTCCAGACAAGCCACTGGGACCTTCAGTGCTGAGGCATGCCCGGCAGGGAGGCTTCTCTGTAAAGTCCTTGGGTGACCTCATGGAGCTAGTCTTCTTGTCTCTAACACTGTCTGACCTCCCAGTTATTGATATCCTAAAGATAGAGTACATCCACCAAGAGACTGCCACAGTGCTGGGTACAGAGATTGTGGCCTTTGAAGAGAAGGAGGTGAGAGGCAAGGTGCAGCACTATATGGCCTACTGGATGGGCCACCGAGAGCCTCAAGGGGTTGATGTGGAGGAGGCTTGGAAGTGCCGGACATGCAACTATGCAGATATCTGTGAATGGTGGAAGGGTGGTGGGGTGCCCAGCTCCATTCTAGAGCCCCTAGCCAAAAAAGTGAAATGAATAGAAGGGTATGCCTTCAGGAACTTTCAGCCTCCCTGCTTCTAATGTGCTCAGCAGAGAAAAAGAGGACCAATTTTTGAACTTAGCTTTCATGGAGAATATTCTTATTTTGGTTCTTTTCATATTTCCTCAAACTCTAACCACTCAAGTCAAGACCAAGTTTCAGGGTTGAGTGGGAGGAATCTGGAGCTATAGGTCCCTGGAACTTTGCTGTTAATTGCCAAGAAGACAGTTGCTCATCGTGGCTGGAGCAAAGGGCATCCTTCAGCAATCATTGCTTTCCTAAGAAGATCCTAAACTTTCTGTTAAGTCCCTTTCCTGTTTTTTCTTAGTTAACACTTTCTACATTTTATATAATAAAATAGAATGAAATGCTGTCCAAGTCAGTCGAACTGATTTTTTTTTTCATAATCTCAATCCTTCAAAAATGACCACAATAAATAGTTGTGTCTTACATGTGTACAACAGAAAATATGAACAAGCATATGCTTCATAGTACTTTCACAATAGCAAAACCTAACCCTAGACACTGTCCAGGTCCCCATCATCAGAAGAGTGTGGACGATGTACAGCAACCAAAAGAAATGAGCCACAATGACACACAACAGTGTGGTTAGCACAGTTAAGTGAAAAGTCCCCAAAGGTTACATACAGTATGGTGCCCTTTTTATAAAGGGAGAACCAAAAAATTAAACACATTTTAAGGAAATTGTGAAGATAGTGGAGAGGAATCTCAGTGCATTTTAGAAGATAGTGGAGCTCTTGATTGCGAACATCACCAAAGAGGCCAGAGGAAAGAATGATATGGACATCACCTGGAAGGAAAAGGCTTGTTTATGCAGTCACTACTGGAGAATTTGCATATATAGGTGGAAGGGGGAGAAGAGTTGGCAGGGGTTGAGTTTATTTTTTATTTTATTTGTTTATTCTTTATTTTATTCTTATTTTATTATTTACATTTTTTTTTTTTAATTTTAGAAAGAGTGTGTGAGCCAGGGAGGGGCAGAGAGAGAGGATCTTAAGCAGACTCCATGCTCAGTGTGGAGCGTAACGTGGGGCTTGATCTCACAACCCCCGAGATCATGACCTGAGCTGAAATCAAGCGTTGGACGCATAACTGACTGAGCCATCTAGGTGCCCCAGGAGTGGAATTTCTATATGAACTAGAAGGTCAAGAGGCAGCAGAACATGGTAAATATTGTTAATGTGACTCCATGTTCTTTTTTTTTTTTAATTTAATTTTTTAAATCTTTATTTTTGAGAGAGAGTGAGAGACAGAGCGTGAACGAGGGAGGGGCAGAGAGTGAGGAAGACACAGAATCTGAAGCAGGCTGCAGGCTCTGAAGTGTCAGCACAGAGCCCAATGCAGGGCTTGAACTCATGAACTGCGAGATCATGACCTGAGCCAAAGTTGGACGCTTAACCAACTGAGCCACCCAGGCGCCCCAATGTGACTCCACGTTCTATGTGAACTGGTAAAACCTGGACATTTTTGGAGTTACAGTAGATTACCTCTGGAGGTGTTTTGAGCTACACACAACTTTTCTTATGCACAATGGGAATCTTGGGGTAATAACTCTCATTTACTGAATGAATATTATGTGCCAGGCATCATGCTTAGCACTTTGATGATTAAATCTGTATATCCATTAATTATCCCTGATGAGGGAATTGAGGCTTAGAAGGGTTATAAAACACAGTTTGAAAGTGGTAGACTCCAGCCTAGATATGTCTGACTACAGTGCTTATGTTCTTAACCATTATGCTGTAAAGTATTTCTCGCTGTTGTTAAGCCCCCTACATGGTATCTTATTCTAGGCCCTAGGAAGTTTGGAATCAAATTGGGGGCATAGTAAATAAACTGGACTTTATAGGATCAAGAGTATTAAGCTAACAGTCTTCAAGAAAACAACTTGTCAGGGTTCTGATGGCATCATGTTGGATATACTAGAAGGTTTAAAAAGAGGGAAAAGAAAAATAAGTTGGTTTCAGACAGTGACATTGTCAGAATTCAGTAGTTCTGTAATTCAGTAATACCCTGAGCTCTCAAATCCTTATTATTTTTTAATGTTTATTTATTTTTGAGAGAGAGACAGAGCGTGAGCAGGGGAGGAGCAGAGAGAGGGAGACACAGAATCTGAAGCAGGCTCTGGGTTCTGAGCTGTCAGCACAGGGCCCCATGCGGGACTTGAACTCACAGACCACAAGATCATGACCTGAGCTCAAGTCAGATGCCCATCCGACTGAGCTACCCAGGAGCCCCTCAGATTTTTATTTTAAGTTAACATCTCCTAGTCATCACTTTATGGTTTCTCACAAGGTAAGTTGAGACATCTGTAGTTGGGGTCACCCCAGGATCATTGATGCTATTCTCTACAACAAATGCTTCCCGGGTTTGCAGCCTCCACATAGCTAATAATGTCATCTTTTCCTTGCAAATTCTGCCTAAAGGTATCTGAACTCCAAATTATGGACCTCTTGAATATTCAGTGAGCAGTTAAATGAAAAGAGATATCATAACAAAGCTATTTCTTGATTTTTTAAAATTTGCTTCCTTTAGTAAATAATTTAATCCTATTAAATTTGCATCCCTCTGCTTATTTTTAATGAGGAGTTTAATCTTTTAAAATTATTCTTAAAGGCCAGTTTGTTGCATGTCTTTTAATTTTCTCCATGGTGGATTTTTCTTTTTTCTTTTAACATTTATTTATTTTTGAGAGGCAGAGAGAGACAGAGCATGAGCAGGGGAGGGGCAGAGAGAGAGAGAGACACAGAATCCGAAGCAGGGGAGGGGCTCTGAGCTGTCAGCACAGAGCCCAACACAGGGCTCGAACCCTCAAACTGCGAGATCATGACCTGAGCTGAAGTTGGACGCGTAACCAACTGAGCCACCCAAGCACCCCATTCTTTTTTTTTTTTAATTTAAAAAAATTTTTTCACTGTTTAGTTTTTGAGAGAGAAACAGAGCACAAGGGAGGGGGGTGGGCAGAGAGAGAGGGAGACACAGAATATGAAGCAGGTTCCAGGGTCTGAGCTGTCAGCACAGGGCCCGATGCAGGGCTCGAACTCACGGACCATGAGATCATGACCTGAGCCGAAGTCAGACGTTTAACCAACTGAGCCACCCAGGTTCCCCCATGGTAGAATTTTCTGATTAAATAATACATGCTTATTATAAAAGTACATTAAAATGTAAGGAATAAGTTACTTCCTTTAAAAATTTTCAACTATTGCTTTGGTTATTGCTTCTCTGTTTTGTTTTGTTTTGTTTTGTTTTGATTCTCTGATATTCGTCAGAGAATCCATATGTTTAGAAACCCTGCTGGTGTGGTGAGTGTGACAAGAGCCACAGGTAGAATATAGGACTTCAAGTTCTTCAGAGAGATTATATGAGAGAAAGGCCCCATAAAGGTGTGAAGAGAGATAGAGGTTTTAGTGATAGCTCAAAACGTAACATCTATTAGAGTATAGTAGGAGAGGAACCAAAGAAGTGTGTTGTGCTTGGTAAGAGCTTCAGCCAAAATGCAAATATTTCTTCATGTACATCACAGTCCACACCGGAGAGAAACTTTATACATGTGGTAATTGTGCTGAGGCCTTCAGAGCTCAAGTCTTCATATTCATCAGAAAGTACATTGCAGAGGAGTTTAAGGAGCTTTGGTCAAAGCTTAGATGATCAAAATAATCTTTTCACACATAGGGACCTATGAAAGTCAAGAATGTGCCAACGTTTTCAGTTACAGCACAGGTATTCACATTCATTGCACAGGACATATAGGAGAGAGAGTCCATAAAAATGAAAGTAATACACAATAGTATGGGGCTTTAACACCCCACTTACCTCAATGGATAGATCATGTAGACAGAAAGTCAATAAGGATACATTGGCCTTATGACACCTATTAAATCCATCTGATAGGTGTCATAAGGCCAATGTATCCTTATTGACTTTCTGTCTAGATGATCTATCCATTGAGGTAAGTGGGGTATTAAAGCCCCATACTATTGTATTACTTTCATTTAAGAGCACATGGGACATCCCGTAGGATACATCACAGGTTAGGCCACAAGATGAGTCTCTAAATTCAAGAAGATTGAAATCCTATCAAGCATCTTTTGCAACTACTGTGGTATGAAATTAGAAATCAATTACAAGAATAAAACTGGAAAAAAACACAAACACATGGAGACTAAACACCTGCTGCTAAACAGCTAATGGGGCAATGAATAAATCAAAGATGAAGTTAAAATCACGTTGAGGCAAACGAAAATGGGCATACAACATTCCAAAATCTATGGGATGCAGCAAAAGCAGTCCTAAGAGGGAAGTTTATATTGATATAGGCCTACCTACCTCAAGAAACAAGAAAAATCCAAAATAAATACCTTTATACTTAAAGGAACTAGAAACAGAAGAGTAAGCAAAGCCCAAAGTTAGTAGAACAAAGGAGATAAGAGCAGAAATAGGTGAAATAGAGATTTTAAAAACAATAGCAAAGGGGTGCCTGGTTGACTCAGTTGGTTAAGCATCTGACTCTTGATCTCAGGTCAGGTCATGATCTCACGGTTTGTGAGATTGAGCCCTGCTTTAGGCTCTGCACTGACAACGCAGAGCCTGCTTGCAATTCTCTCTCTGTCTGTCTCTGCTCCTTCCCCACTTGAACTCTCTCTCTCCCTCCCTCTCAAATAAACTTTTAAAATAATAAATAACCATAGCAAAGATCAATGAAATGAAAAATCAGTTCTTTGAAAAGATAAACATAATTGATAAACTCTAGGCCCACTCATCAAGACAAAAAGAGAGGGGGCCTAAATAAAACCAGGAATGAAAAAGGAGAAGTTACAACTGACACTACAGAAATACAAAGGATCATAAGAAACCACAAAGAACAATTATATGCCAACAAATTGGAAAACCTAGAAGAAATGGATAGATTCCTAGGAACATATAACTTTCCGAAACTGATTTACAAAGAAATAGAAAATTCGATAGACCAGGGTGCCTGGTTGGCTCAGTTGGTTACCTGTCTGATTCTTGATTTTGGCTCAGGTCATGATCTCATACTTCATGAGTTGAGCCCCTGCTCAATCTGCACTGATGGCACGGAGCCTGGTTGGGATTCTCTCTCCCCCCTCTCTCTCCCCTCCCTTGCTTAGCTTGCTCTCGCTCTCTCTCTCTCTCTCGCTCTCTCTCTGTCTCAAAATAAAAAACATTAAAAAAATCTGAATAGACCAATACAAGTGATGAAATTAAATCAATATTTTTAAAAACTCCAAAAACAAAAAGTCTAGGACCAGACAGCTTCATAGGTGAAATCTGCCAAACATTTAATGATGAGTTAGTACTTCTTCTTTTCAAGTTATTCCAAAACATTGAAGAGGAAGGAACACTTATACACTCATGAGGCAAACAGGTGCACGAATAGATGCTCAACGTCAGCTATCAACAGGGAAAATGCAAATCAAAACCACAATGAGATCACCTTACACCTGTCAGATTGGCTATTATCAAAGAAAGAAAGGAAGGAAGGAAGGAAGGAAGGAAGGAAGGAAGGAAGGAAGGAAGGAAAGAAAAAGAAAGAAAGAAGAAGAAAGAAGAAAAGAAGAAGAAAAGAAGAAAAGAAAGAAAAGAAAGAAAGAAAGAAAGAAAGAAAGAAAGAAAGAAAGAAAGAAAGAAAGAAAGAAAAGAAAAGAAAGAACGAACAAGTGTTGGCAAGGATGTGGAGAAAAGGGAACCCTTCCTTATACACCATTGGTGGGAATGTAAAGTGGTGCAACCACAATGGAAAAAATATGGAAATTCCTCAGAAAATTAAGAATAGAACTGCCAGGTGATCTAGCAATACCACATCCAGGTATTTATCCAAAACAAAAAAACCAAAACACAAACATCAATTTGAAGAGATATATGCACCACCATATTCACTGCAGCATTATTTACGATAGTCAAGATATGGAAGTAACCTGAGTGCCCATCAATAGATGAATGGGTAAAGAAAATGTGATGTGTGTACACACACACACACACACACACACACACACACACACACACACAGGAATAGGGAATATGATTCAGCCGTAAAAGAATGAAATCTTACCATTTGTGACAACGAATGGACCTAGACAGTATTGTGCTAAGTGAAATCAATCAGATAAAGACAAATATCATATAACTTCACCTATATATGGAATCTGGAAAACAAAACAAATGAACAAATAGAACAACAGAAATAGACTCATAGATACGGGAAACAAGTTCTATGACACATTTAATGGAGATAAAACTCTGGACAATTGTATATTCAGTATTGCAAATATTTATTTAGCACCTATTATGTGCCGGGTTCTACTCACACAAATTCCAATGTGTGGGCTTTCCCCCACCACCAAACAATCCTCTGATACTACTTGATGACAGTGTTAGATCCCACAGGTTGAGGGTTCAGTCCTACAAGCTTACCCTTTTCCCCCCACTTCAGATGCCCATCACGAGTCCAGATTGTCATCTGTGCTTTTGACTTGCTAGCTATAGAATGGAGGTTCCAACAACCCCTTCCTTAGGTTTGACTAATTTGCTAGGCAGCTCACAAAGCTTGGAGAAACATTTTTATTTTCTAGATTACCAGTTTATTATAAAAGGATATATAACTCAGGGACAGCCATATGGAAGAGATGCATAGGGCAAGGTATGGGGAAAGGGAAAAGAGTTTCCATGCCCTTTCTGGGCCAACACTCTCTCTGTACCTACATGTGTTCACCAACCCACAAAGTCTGTGAGCCCTGTCCTTTGAGTTTTTATGGAGGCTTCATTACATAGGCACAATTGATTAAGTTATTGGCGACTGGCAATTGATTCAACCTCCAGCCTCTCTTCCCCTCCCCAGAAGTCAGGAAGTTGGGACTGAAAGTTTCAACTCTCTAATCTCCAATCATATGATTGGTTCTCCTGGCAGCCAGCCCCCATGCTTAGGTACAGTACAAAATCACTTCAGTAATATAACAAAAGACACCGTTATTGCTATCATCACTTAGGAAATTCCAAGACTTTTAGGAGCTCTGAACCAAAAACAGGGATGAAGATCAAATATATATTTCTTATTATAAATCACAGTATTGCCAAACAAAAATATGTGCTTTCATAAACATATATACTATGAGAAAAAGAAAAGGAATAAGAGAAATCAAGGATGGCTCCTAAATTTTTGCTTGAGCAATGAGGTGGTGATGGTGCATTTATTGAACTAGAAGTGCTAGATTGGGGGTGGGAGAAGGCAGGGATTAATTGGCTTGGAAGTGTGAAGTTGGAGGTGACGTTTAGATTTTTAAGGGGAGATTTCAGGTAGGCATAAGGAATTAGGGGTCTGCTGTTCAGGGGAGAAATGAAAGATGGAAATACAGATTTTCAGTCATCACTCATCATCACATAAATGGTATTTCAAGCCATGGGACTGAATGAGATCATTTAGAGGACAATTTCAGAAAGCAAAGGCTGAAGGTCAAACCCTTGAGTATTCCAACATTTGGAGGAGGAACAGAGGAACAGAGTTTTAGTAAAGGAAATACAGAAGTAGTCTGAGTGAAGTGGGAGAAACTAGCTTTTATGAGATGTCCTCGAAACCAAGATAAGGAAGTATTTTAATTGTGTTGAATGCTGTTGAGGTCAAATATAATGAGGACAGAATTGGAATTTAATTGGTAACTTGACAAGATCAGTTTTAGGAGAGTAGAGTCAAGAAGCTATTAGAGTGGACTGCAGAGAGAATTGGAGGTGTGAAGATGTAGACAGCAACAAGAGGCAGCTCTTTAGAAAGATTTTTCTATGAAGGAAAGTTAGGAAATGGTGCAGTTGTTCAAATGGGCTACAGGTTAAGAAAGGATTTTTGTTTTTTTGTTTTTTTTATTTTTTTTTAACGTTTATTTATTTTTGAGACAGAGCATGAACGGGGGAGGGTCAGAGAGAGAGAGAGAGAGAGACACAGAATCCGAAACAGGCTCCAGGCTCTGAGCAGTCAGCACAGAGCCCCACACGGGGCTTGAACTCACGGACCGCGAGATCATGACCTGAGCCGAAGTTGGACGCTTAACCGACTGAGCCAGCCAGGCGCTCCAAGAAAGGATTTTTTTTTTTTAAGATATAAAAAAACATTTTTATGACATTGAAAATGCCAATGAATACAGTGGCTACTAGTATCAAGTGGGCTCTTAATGCTACCAAGCAACAGTACTGTATTTCCTTAATCCATTCACTCTTCCACATTCTTTTTTTTCCCCCCCTTTAACGTTTATTTTTGAGAGAGAGAGGGCTCACAAGTGGGGGACAGGAGGGGCGGAGAGAGGGAGACACAGAAGCAGGCTCCAAGCTCCGAGCTGTCAGCACAGAGCCCAACAGGGGACTCAAACCCATGAACCATGAGATCATGACCTGAGCCAAAGTCAGACGCCAACCGATGAGCCGCCCAGGTGCCCCCACTCTTCCACATTCCTAAATAACATTAGAATCTCAGATGCCATTGATTATAAGATACATAATTATTTCACAGACTTTCAAAGAGAAAAAACATGCTGCCAGTTAAACTATAGAATGCCATCATTTGTAAAATACCAGTTTTGCAGATGTTCAAATATGAAAAAAGTGTATATTAGAATCAATGTCATACAGTATTACTTTTCTCTCCTCAAATCTCCAATACCTTCTCCCTTCCTTCACTTTCAGCTTCCTATTTAACTAAGAAAATACAAGCATTCAGAAGATAGGCTCATTCTCCCACCACTAAATCTGTATCTCACCTGTACCTGTAAATTCTGTCTCCCTTTTTATTTCAATGGATGAATGGTCCACACTCACAACTGATCCTTCCACAGTGTACTGAATCCCATCCCTTTTCTCCAGAAGGACTTTTCTTCCTGCAACTATCCCATTTCTACTGTATAATTTTAATTAGCATACATACTATAATTTCTTCCATCTTAAAAAAAATTCTGGACCCCAAATCTATATGCAACGACAGCTTTCTTTTTCTACTCATCCTAAAAAAGCCAAACTTCTTAAAGGTACTGCCTGTACTTGCTTTTCACACTTCCTCTCTTCCCACTCTTACCAAATTCCACTCATTCCACTCCTATCAAATTCTTATCAGATTTTATTGAAATTCTACCACTACGCCAAAATGGGATATTTCAACAGCCTCCACAATGCTAAATCCAATGGTCAATTCTTAGTGATCATCCTACTTAACTAATTAGCAGCATTTAATACTGCTGGATTATTCCCCACTTCTTGAAACATTTTCTTCCCTTGATTTTGCAGAATCAAACTCTTCTACTTTTACGTCTCACACCTTATCCCTTCTCAGTCTTCTTTGTTGGGTCCTCCGCTTCACCTCCTTTTTGGGACCTAAGCTAGTGCGTTGCTAAAAGAAACTGAACTAAGGGTAGATTATTATCTTATAGTGCTGATTTAGATTTTCTAGTATTTAAAAATTCTGGTGTCTTGTATTTTTAAACGAAAATGATATATACACTTCCCTCTTATAAATGAGCTTGGCTCTCATGGAAGCCCCGGAGATACCAACCCAGGACTCCCTACAAAGAGGCAGAGGCCTCTGAAGCCTTCCGGAAACGAGCTCCACAGGCCTATGGGAAATGTAGTCCCCTAAGAAGAGCCTGCACCGCGGGGGGACCTGGGAACCTGGGCGGCAGTTACTTCCGCACACGCGCAGTGGGGCGGTAGCCGGTGTTCAGTAATCTTCCAACCTGCGCCGCGTGAAGGGGGAACGGGGTTTTCTCCCCGAGAGCCTGTGGGAGATCTCTGTAATCTGATCTTTTAGAACCAAAGATGGGAGTGTGGTGGTGAAAGACTGGTAGGTATGACTCTGCGGAGCTTGGGGACGTAAGGGAAGGGCGGGGAGAAAGATAGGCACCAGTTTATTGGCGTACCCAAAGGAAGGTAAAACTTCACAACCCCCACGTGCAGCGATTTAGTGTTTGGATGTGTGGGTCCTGTCCAATTCTGGAGTTCAGAGAAAGCAAGAGAAGGGGCTGACTGCCACTCAAGTGGGTTCCCGGATCCCGAGTAGGGATGGGGCAGGCTCAGTTTGTATTCCTGCCCTTGTAGGTAGAGATCACAGTGTAGGAATATGTGCTTCAGGCTTTACCTTTCCTGGTTACAAGAACATCGCTGGCCCTACCAGAGCCCGCAAAAGGCAATATTAAACCATTCCAAGGGATCCAGGAAGTATTTCTAGAGAAACTTGCCATGTTCTCAGTATATTCTCACAACAATTATCTGAAGTAAGTGTTCTCTCCATTTTGCATATGAATTAACTGAAGCTGAGAGAGAGGTTAAGTTACTTACTTGCTTATACTGACAATAAGTGGAAGAGCTGAGAGTCGAACCAGACGAGTTTTCACCGAATTTTATTCTGGCGTTTTGTTTGTTTGTTTTTGAGTATAGTTGACACGCAATCTTACATTAGTTTCTGCTGTACAACTTGGTGATTTGACAAGTTTTACCTTGTGCTATGATCGCCACAAGTGTAGTTAGGACCCTGCAAAAAAAAAGAGTTGTATTTATTCTCCTTTTGAAATATTTGAGCAATGAATGCAGAATAAATTTTGATTTGTAGTCTTTTTTGTTGTTGTTGTTAATAGTCTTTGGTGAATTTGCAGATCTTCCAGTGAAGACTGTGTAAATAAAGCTGTGAGTCCCTCTTGCATATTTTAGCCTTTCTATGGCCCCAACTTTGCTGGTTTAAATTCTTAAAAAACTATACTGGCTCATAGAAGATGGTGAATTTCCAAAGAAAGAGAGAGAGACAGATTTAGAATTTAAACTGAAGGCTCTGTCTTTAAAAAAAAAAAAAAAAAATTCCTGGATCCCTCAATCCATCCTTCTCAAGAAAACCCAACCTAATTTGAGCTCTCTTATCCCAGCTTCAGAGCAGAGACCAGAGAGTCACAGGAAGGACTGACTTCCAGAGATATACTGAGTTTCAGAAACCAGGGTTTTAGTTAGTTTTTAGACTTATTTATTATTTTTTTTCTTAGGATAAAATTTTGGGAAGAAAAAAATGTCACTAGTTCTAAGATTAACAACTTGCCATTAGATCAGTAGGACAAAAATGTACAACATACTTACCTAAATTTCATAGATTCATAACAGATCCACCAGTAGAGTTCGGCACTTATAAAATATGGACTTTCCTGACATCTCCTAGAATCGTCATTCTCTCACTAGGTGACATTTACTGAAGCTGCAATGTGAGTCTTTCTTTTCTAACTTTTTTTTTTTTTTTGCGTGAGAGAGAGAACATAGGGGGAGGTGCAGGGAGAGGGATAGGGGGAGAGAGAGAGAGAGAGAGAGAATATCTTAAGCAGGTTCCATGCTCAGCACAGAGCCTGATGTGGGGCTCAATCTCACAACCCTGCGATCATGACCTGAGCCGAAATTAAGATTCAGACGCTGGGCTAACTGAGCCACCCAAGCACCCCAAGAGTTCTTTTCTAATAGTGCTTCTTTCCTTTTCTACATTGCGTTTTGGTTTTTCATGTCTTTCTATTCTTTTTCCTATTTTTACTTTCATAGATCCGTGTGTAAGAGCTCCAGAAAATGATCAACTTCCAGGTAGGTATCCATTTATTGAGTCATTTAAAACTCTCAAAAATCTATATAAAAAGGACATGTATAGACATGTATAGGGAAAATATAGATTGAATAGATCAGGTCCAAAAGAAAATTTAGAAAATTGATCAGTTGATATCCACGTCACAGGGTCTGTACATAGTTGGAATAAATTTGAGCTGCATATGTGTACCCAGTCTTTATAGCAATCACAGAAAATGGATAGTCAACCAGTTAACGTATTGGTATTGTCCACAAAGATAAAGGAAAACAATCCCTTGGAGAAGTAAAGATTTTCCTGATGCAGTTCTCTGAAGAAAATATCTTATAATGGGTTTTCATGGAGATAATGTTAGAAATAATATTCACAGGGGTGCCTAGGTGGCTCAGTTGGTTAAGCTCTGACTCTTGATTTCAGCTCAGGTCGTGATGTTGTGGTTCGTGGGTTCGAGCCTTGTGTTGGGCTCTGCACTGCTGACACTCCACTGTAGGTGGAGCCTGCTTGGGATTCTGTCTGTCCCTTAATCTGCCCCTCTCCTGTTCGTGTTTGTTCTCTCTCAAATAAACAAACTTGGGGAAAAAAAGTTTAAAAAAAAGAGCAATAACATTCACAGCAACAACCCTGTGATAAATATAACATCACATTTTATATTATATAGCATGCTGTATTTCTTAAAATGTTTCCTAGAGTAAGCAAAGAGCTTAGTGCCAATAAGCAGCACTATGCGAACTCCGTTTGTAAGTTCAGGTACATATCTTTTTTAATATTCTTCTGGAACCATAAGTAAATCTTATATCTTTTCCAGAGTCTGCTAGTATTCTTGAGCATTTTCTCTTCTATGTGAATTTTATTTTATTTTATTATTTTTTAAAATGTTATTTATTTTTGAAAGAGAGAGAGAGTGAGCAGGGGAGGGGCAGAGAGAGAGGAGGGCAGAAGATCCAAAGCAGGCTCTCTGCTGACAGCAGCGTGCCCAATTCAGGGCTTGAATTCAAGAACCGGAAGATCATGACTTGAGCCAAAGTCAGATGCTCAACCAACTGAGCCACCCATGGGCCCTGTTCCATGTGGACTTCAGAATTAGCTTGTCAGGGTCTATAAAGGAGCATTTTAGGTATTTTTATTGTGATTGCAATATATGTTTCCATTAATTTGTAGAAAATTCATTAGTTTTCAATAATGTATTCTCTAATGTTTCACATAGGTCCTTCTTTACATTTTTATAGGTTTGTTATTATAATTCTTATACATTTCTCATATAAGAATTTCTTGTAATATTTATTCTTACGTATGGTTTAAGTTGCTGTTGAGAATAGGATGGATCTTTTTTCATTGTATTTTCTAATTGGTTATTTTGGTGTATAGGAAAGTATGCATTTATCTATTTGACTTTATGTCAACTTACAGAACTAATTTTTTTTAATTAAAAAAAATTTTTTTTAAATGTTGATTTACTTTTGAGAGACAGAGTGCAAGCAAGGGAGGGGCAGAGAGAGAGGCAGACACAGAATCCGAAGCAGGGTCCAGGCTCTGAGCTGTCCGCATAGAGCCTGATGTGGGGCTCGAACTCACAAACTGCGAGATCATGACCTGAGCCTAAAGTCAGACACTCAACCAACTGAGCCACCCAGGCTCCCCCTGTTTCTTCTTTAAAAATTAAAAAAAAAAAAAATTTTTAATGTTGCAGAACTCTTATTAAGCTCAAGATTTTTTTAGTTTATTATTAGGTTTTCTAGGTAGACAATCATACACTCTTCAAATGGAGTTTGTTCCTTACTGCTCAATATGTATGTCTTCATGTTTTTTCTTGTCTTATTGCAATGGACAGGGATTTTTGGGAACTATAATTTTTTAAAAATGTTTATTTGTTTTGAGAGAGTGTACATATGTGAGCAGGGGAGGGCCAGAGAGAGAGAGAGGAAGAGAGAGAATCCCAGGCGGGCTCAGTGCCTCCATCACAGAGCCCAACCTGGGACTCAATCTCACAAACTGTGAGATCATGACCTGAACTGAAATCAAGTTGGATGCTCAACTGACTGAGCCACCCAGGTGCCCCAGGAACTATAAATTGCTAGCCAGTATCTTTTTGTTCCAATTTTAATGGGAATGTTTCCAGTGTTTTATTGTTTCCTCTTGTATTTTGGTAAATAGTTTTGTTTTGTTTTCTTGTTTTTAATCAAGTTAAAGAGTTTTAGCTTGTGAACATTGTTTTCATCAAGGGGAAACCTTTTTTCTTATATGTTTTTTAAAAATATGTTTTGGTTGGGGCACCTGGATAGCTCATTCAGTTGAGTGTCCAACTTTGGCTCAGGTCATGATCTCATGGTTCCTGAGTTCAAGCCCCACATCAGGCTCACTGCTGTCAGATCCTCTGCCCCGCCCCTGCTTGCACTCTCTCAAAAATAAATAAATCATTTAAAAAATAAAAAAAATAGATTGATAAGTAAATAAAATACCTGTTGGTAAAATAATGTTTTATCTTTAATATAGGAATTCAGAGAATTTCTAATATATTTCTCAATATTGAACTATCTGTGCATTCATGGGATAAATCCTACCTAGTCTTCTAACTTTTTAAAGGGCCAGATGGTAAATATTTTAGGCTTGAAGGCCATACAGCCTCTGTGGCAACTACTCAATTTTAACTTTGCATCTGAAGCAAATGAGTGGGTATAAATATTCCAGTAACACTTTATTTACAGAAACATCAGGCCGGGGTATGGGTTGTAGTTTGCTGACCCCTGTTCTATATGGTTTTAACTATGTCTTTGTGGTAGACATGTAGCCACATGCCTTTTTAATTTCAGCTTAAGTTAGTTCAACATGATTTTAACATTACGGTTGAGAGGATATATTATGTAAAAAAAGGTCTTATATTCTATTTTATTATGGTCATGTGAGTCTGACATGTTAACCTTATAGCCCTTCTAACTTATGTATATTTACTTTGTAGTATGTAATAGATTGTAAGATCTCTGAGACCAGTAACATTTTTGTTCTTTTTTGTATCACTAATACAGTGTCTGGTAGGTCCTCATTAGACATTGTCTGAATGAATGAATGAAGAACATATAAGCAATATTTTAAATAATTTTATTGAGACATAATCACATATTACAGATTGACCCATTTAAGATATATACAACTCAGTGGTTTTTAGTCTGTCCATGAATTGTAAAACCATCTCTACAATCTAATTTTATTTAAAATAATTTTTTTTTCAACGTTTATTTATTTTTGGGACAGAGAGAGACAGAGCATGAACGGGGGAGGGGCAGAGAGAGAGGGAGACACAGAATCGGAAAGAGGCTCCAGGCTCTGAGCCATCAGCCCAGAGCCCGACGCGGGGCTCGAACTCACGGACCGTGAGATCGTGACCTGGCTGAAGTCGGACGCTTAACCGACTGCGCCACCCAGGCGCCCCTCTACAATCTAATTTTAGAATATTTTCATTACCCTCAAAAGAAACCCCATATTGGCAGTCATTCCCTATTTGTCCTATCCCCTAGCTCTAATTTATTTTCTGTTTCTATGGATTTTCCTTTTCTGAACACTTTATGTAACTAAGACAATATAATATGTGATCTTTTTTGACTAGCTTCTTTCACCTAGTAACAGTATTTTCAAGGGTCATCAATGTTACACGTATGTCAAATAATATTGCATTATATGGATATACCTCATTTTGTTATTCCATCTATTCATCAGATGATGGATACCCATATTGATTTCACTTTTGGCTATTAATGAATACTTCTCTATGAACATTTGTCTACAGGTTTTATATTTTTAGTTCTCTTAGGTATATATTTAGGAGGGATTGCTGGGTAATATGGTTAATTCAATGTTTAACATTTTGAGGAACTGTAAAACTATTTTCCATCGTTGTTGCACCATTTTACAACCCCACCAGCAGTGTATGACAGTTCCAGTTTCTCTACATCCTTGTCACCACTTGTCATTGTCTGTCTTTGATTTTAACAACCCTTGTGGGTGTGAGGCAGTATCTCATTGTGGCTTTGATTTCTATTTACTAATGATGTTGAGCATCTTTTCATGTGCTTCATGCTCATATGAGTGTCTATGTCTTTGGAGAAAATCTGTTCAAATCCTTTGTCCATTTTTAAATTGGGTTGTCTTTTTACTGTTGTATTGTAAGAGTTCTTTTTATATCCTAGGCACAAATTTCTTACCAAAATATATGATTTACATGTATTTCATCCCATTCTGTGGGTTGCCTTTTCACTTTCTTGGTGGTGTCCTTTGAAGCACATATTTTAAATTTTAGTGATTTCCATTTTATCTATTTTTTTCTTTTGTCACTTACACTTTTCCTTTCATATCTAAGAAACCATGGCCTAATCCAAGCTCATGAAGATTTACTCCAATGTTTTCTTCTAAGAATTTTATAATTTTAGTTCTTACATTTACATCTTTGATCCATTTTTAGTTCATTTAAAAAAATTTTTTTTAGGGGCGCCTGGGTGGCGCAGTCGGTTAGGCGTCCGACTTCAGCCAGGTCACGATCTCGCGGTCCCTGAGTTCGAGCCCCGCGTCGGGCTCTGGGCTGATGGCTCAGAGCCTGGAGCCTGTTTCCGATTCTGTGTCTCC